GCCACACTGTTTAAAGGTGTGAATAGGATGGACGAGGAGCCCAAGAGGTTCCAACGGAGGAAAGCGCGGAATAGAGAGAGGGGCATGGGCACAGGGCAGACAAACCAATGACGGACACTTGAAGACACTTGGAATGGAAGAGGAACATTCACTTCCTCATCGTGGATAATTATACTTCTTTCGATGGCGAGTACCTACAAATCCCATTGCACGATAGGTAATCCTTTCAGCGATCGGAAGTAAAGTCCGTCTGAGTCTCACGAATCCAGGGAGTGAATTTTTAACCTAACTAACTGATTAGCACAGCTGACTAAGCATGACCTTCGTCTGTGTTACTTAATATAGAATATTTTATGTGGGATATATTTGATTATGTGTATTTGTTTTCCTTTAGAATTTTATTAAAAACTTAATGTTGTTTTTTGAAGTTTGGATTATAATTGCTATTTAGTTAAATGCAATCTCCCATTGTTTCTGATCTTATGGGCTACAGATCCACCAAATAAAAACATTTCAAACGGATATGTTTCAACATGTAAAATGTTTTACCATAGTTACCCTATTGTGTATACCTAATACTATTAGTTACATTTCAGGACTACGCTACTTAATCTATAAAGTAGATACTGTAAATACTGTATCTAAATACAGTAAAGATTCTTTTGTTCGAATAACCAAATAGTTTTGTCCGCTCAGACAGTGCTAGATTGGGGCTCAAAGAGCATGGGGATATATACATATGTATTAAATATCTCCTCTTTTTAAATCGTCCTCCCTGATTCTTCCCTATCTATAGTAAATCACTTGACCCGTCAATATGGCCTGAGCATACAACTATGCACGAGTCTCAAAACTACCGGCCCTGATACTTCAAATAACTAGATAGCCCTTTTTCCATTCACTACCAGAACGTACGAAGCCTTTTAGGCAAATCGTGCCAACTACATACAAATAGTGCCTCTTTTATATCCATCTTTAGCTATATCCTTTGAGTGTGTCCGATGCAGTTTTCCGAGTACATATTACTGAACATTGACGAAACAGTCAATTCCTTTTTATGACACAATCAACGCCGCCCTTAATGTGTACAAATGTTCCTGAAATCAAGCTATCTGTGTCGTTCAAGCCTCCTTGGTTCTCCAGGAATTTGTCTTGTTTGAGGAACAGAAAAACCAGGCTATATAAAATATACCAGAATACTGGATTCATGTCTGTCTTCGCCCAATATTCCGCCGCTCGTTCTCAATTACTTACCGTTTATAGACTGTGTCATTGGTTATAATGTAGCAATGTAGGTTCCCCCCACTATGGTCCAGAAGCCCCTTTTTTTTGGCAGAAAGTCTAAAAATAAAGATACAGACTTGAAAATTTGCAAATTTGGTTATATTAGGAACCATTAAATATATAAATTTTCGCTTAAATATTTTAAGCAAAAAATAGTGCTTCAAACAAAGAAAAATTCAAAATTCATAACTTTTCAAATCGACCAATAAAACAGCACTCTCTGGAAAGTTTCTATTACATTTTGTTTTCCTTTTTAAGTAATCAATTTCAATTTTATTAAGAAAAGGTTACTATCTGATCAAAAAAAAAATTAATTAAAAAAAATATGACTTTTTGTGCTTTTGGATTGCATTGTTGAAGTTTCTCTTTTAAAAAACTAATAAAATTTCTTTTATTGTTAACTCTAAACGTAAGTCCAATGCATTTCCTCCATCCTTTCATTATCAGAATAAAACAGAATCTTCTCCTGCTGGTATTGCACATTTATTTGTCGTCACATACACATATGTATACAACGCATCCACTCCGTATCCTACCTTCCTACCCTCATGCTAACAGAATTTTTATACCCGTACTCGAAAAGTTAAGGGGTATATTCAATTTTTGGTCAAAGTGGATGTGTGCAACGGAGAGAAGGAAACGTTTTCGACCCCAGAAGACATATATATTCTTGATCTGCATCACTAGCCGAGTCGATATAGCTCGATATCGATATTTCTTTCTGTGGCGGACGAGTACGGGTATAAAAATGCTGTTAGCATGAGGTAGATGGTAGGGATAAATAAATCATAGCCTCACATACATCATATATATACATAAATATTGACTTAATACGGTGCACAAGGATGTTGTCGAACTTCTCCGATGTTTCGCGTGTGTTTCGTTATTTTTTGCAGTGAATCTCCGGAAACACTTTTTTAGACACATTATAGATATGTGGCACTAGCTGACTTTGTTTGGCCTTAATTTGTTTGATTGTTGTTTGATTTGATTTTTGAATGTGCGCCACGACCCATTGTATTTCGCTTCATCTTTTGTCTTTAAATGCGTTTCTATTTTATTTTTCCAAGACAAATTAAATTTTATCTACAAATCAGTATGCACAGCTTATAATTCTTACGAAAGAAGCCCAAAAGAGAATCCAAAATAAAGCCCCATTATCCTGAAGCCAAGGACAGTGGTTTTCATGCAACTAATTTGTTTCAAATGTTAACGGCCCTTCCGTTTCTATTATTTTTCCCATCAGTGTATGCATCATAGGTGGTTTTTGCAATTTTTGGGCAATACTCTTTTGCAGCATTCGCTTGTGCGTGTCCAAGTTGGTAGAAAGGACGTGCCACCCTAGAGAATCAATAATTACGAGCTATCGTATCTCCCAAGTCCAACTCCAACTCCACCGATCAACCGCTTCCGGTTATAAATATCCAGAGAACAGATTCATTGACGACTTTTGCTTGTTCCGTTGGTAGGGGCAAATTCGGAGCCAAAAATCTGGTTGGGACAATCAATTTCCCATTGGAAGAAAGCTAACGGTTAATGGCCATCTGTGGGCCATATCGGTGTCTCTATCTCGGTATCCGTGATTAGTTTGGACAGACGGATGGACAGGCTGCCTAACTGATGGATTGGACTGAGCGAATGATAAAGAGTAATTAACAAGAAAAGACGTTAAATCCAGCAACGTACTAAAATCAACAAAAGATTATTTGATCCACGGTGAAAGGTTATATATGTACATACATATGTGTGTGTCTCTCTTTTTCTCTGTAGAAATCAGCTGATGGCAAACACCGGAAAAGAGAGAAGAGAAGGTTGGCGTCCAACAGCTGTAACACAGAGCACGCAAAGAAAATACTCTTAGAAGGAAGGGTAAGGGTGGTTATTTTAGGCCGGAGAAAACGAGATAGAAACTAATTAAAATAATTAAAAAATAAAATAATGCTCGAAAAATGGAAGCTTTCATTAAAATAATTAAAATGTATAATTTTTTATAATATTATATACTATTGCATACGTCTTCATAGGTCCATTGTGGTTCCAGAAGGTAAGTCCTTTTCAATTACAGCGCATGCACAAGCGAGGCGGACTATGGGTAGGCTTGGGATTTCTCGTCTCATTCAAAATGATTTCTTTACGCTTTTGCGACTGCTGAGCAACAGCAAGTTGCTGCCACCGGTAGGTGTTCCTCTGCTGTGCTCCGCTGTGCAATACGTTCCAATCTTAATTATTGCCGCTCGCAACTGTTACTGCTACTGCAACGTCTCGGTCCTCGGTCCTCGGCAATGGCAATTCTTTTTTCTGTTATGTCAAGCTTCGCACAGACCAGATCACGACTCCGATTGACGCCGCTCTAATGAATTATGATTACAGCTGCAGAGCACCGCTCTCTCTCTCTCTCTGTCTCTTTTTCTCTGAGAACTCTACAATTTCTTGCACTCCGCAGCAGCAGAGAAGAGCAACTTCTTATGTTAGCGTTCAGTGTTAGCCGAATGTTAGGCAACAGCATGGCAATGACCTGAGAGAGTGCGTAGAATTTACCCCGACTAAGAATTCTTATTACTCACTCGTGGTACGCTCCTACTAGTCCCGCGCCCCGATCCGAACCACGCTATGAAAGACTTACTTTAATGTTTAGTTTTCTTTATTTCTTGCCACCGTATCCCCCTTTGACAGTACGGGTTCGGGGTACGCCTTGGAAACAGACGACCGTTAATGCTTAATGCAAATATGTGTTTCACATCATTTCTCTAGCCCCCTCCTCTTCCACTTACCTACATACACACATATATTTATCTTATATTATTCTTTACCCTTTTTGTGGGCGCTTCTTCTTTTTCGTTCTTTTTCTCGATGTAATTTAAATATGTAAAGTGACGCATTCATTCCGTTCCGCACTTTTGGAAGGTGATCAAAATTTGGCCGACTTTAATGGGCATGATATTACATGGGTGAGAGGATTCCTAACACGCTCTATGTGGGCGGTTGACAACGGCTTAATAGGGGGAGTTATCCTGGGCTCCCTCTAGCCCCACTCCCATGGTTTCGCACAGCGACCCCCTCCGCCACAGAGGTAACACATGCAAATCGCGTTGTCTCTTTCTCTGGTAACAGGTGTCGTTGCAGAAGAAGGTCGCCCTGTCGCTGTCGCTGCTCTGCTCTGATCTCCTCCTCTGCTGTTGTTCAAGTTCAATGCTACGACTGCGGTTGGCTGCCGCTGCCGCTGCTGCTGCTGTTGCTTGAGGTCGGGCACTGGCCCCCATACCCCCTTCCCACCCACAAACTCTACATGCTGAGAGGAAGAGAGCGTTGTAACTTTGGTTTGGAGAGCATGCTCTCTCTGCCTGTGGGACTCTCTCTGGCTGTCGTTCTCTATCGTTTCTTTGTCGTGTACGATCGCTGGAGCGTGCGTTCGTTCGTTTGTTCGTACATATTTATGCATGTGTGTGTGTAGTAGAAATGGGGCTCGCGCTTTTCTTTGCTTCAAGTTGCCTCTGTTGGGGGCGCTGCCTGCCTTCTGCAGCAGGCCTGGGCCACGGCCGTGGTCGCTTTCTCTGCCTCTGCTGGTGCTGGTGCTGCTGTTGCTGCTGTTGCTGCTGTTCTTGTTCGCTCTCTGGATACCTCTTCTTTCGCTGCTGCTGCTGCTGCTGCCGCCGCTTTGTGGAGACCTCTGGGAAAGGCATAAAAGTGGCGCACGACCAGGGACATCAGCCATTGCGCGTGATGCAATTGAAGTGCTAACATCTCGTCGTCGAGTCAGCCATCACCAGCAATACCAGCAGCAAAAGCAGTATCAGTATCAGTAGAAGCGGAATCAGCAGCAACGGAAGCAGCAGCACCGTGAACAAATATTTATTTTTTTTTTTTGGTTCATCTGCCCGCTCACTCTTCCTCTCTCCAAGTGTGTGTCTCTGTGAACTGGCAGTGTGTGTGTAACAACAAAAATACACTCCTTGCGGATGCGGACCGAGCGCGGATCGGCCGAGTGACAAAAAAATAAAACCAACAGTGTGAAAAAAACCCCAATAACCTTAACCCAATCTGTGAAAGTGTCTCTCCAGCACACACACACAAGCACACACACACACACCTCAATCGTACAGTAAATAGAACGCTAAAGAAATAAACACTTGCAAAAGGATTAAAGCAAAAGTTTAGAAAATTGTGAAACATTTTCGAGAAAAGACACCCACAAAGGTAAGACGCGGAATATACCCAAAACTAAAAGTGCAATTGGACCATTTTTTTATACATTTTTTTCTGAGAAATTAAATAGTTTTTTTTAAAGTGAAAATGCCACCTAATGGGAGAGCTATGGAGTGAAAATGTATTTACATTTCATGTAAAAGTAAATAAGTATGATGAAATTAAATTATAATGATCCTGTTGGTAAAGAGTACATGAGTACAAGAGTACAAGAGATTAAAATGGAAAATCATATTGGAAAAATGCGTTACCAGACATGCAACCTGTCTCCTTCCCCGTCAAATTTAACACCTTCAAATTCAAAGGTGCCTATCACCAGGAGGGAGGCCTGTCTCAATGTTTGAGCCTGGTCTGTTTGCCCGGCCAATTGTCACATCTTTTCCTCATTTTATGTTCGGCACCTCAAAAGAAAAGACTTAGACAACGAACTTGAGCTGTAAATTCTATGAAAATCCGTGCATATTATGCATGCGCATGACCAGGATGGGAGAAGGTTCGTGGCCTCAAGTGTGGCCGGAACTTGCAACATTTTCCATTTCATTAGAAAATGCAAGGAAGCCCGACAGAGAGTCAAGAACTATGGTGGTCCCCACTCCGATCTTTTGCCGTTGCTCTTGCTGCTGCTCTCTTGGTATTTTCAGTTAAAGTCATTAACGCAATTAACCGTTATTACCCCCCGTTGGTCGGGGGTATGGTCACCCAATTCATTAGGAAAGTATTTAGTGGCAGAGTGAGACGAACAAAGAGGCAGATACAGAGGCACTGACTGGGACTGAGACTGGGACTGGGGCGGGGACGGAGACAGAGACAGGAACGGACAGCAAAAGCAACGGTCCAAGAGCATGAGAAACGCATTAAAATAAAAGGCCAGAAGAAAAGTTAACGAAAAATGTGAAGAAACACAGACTGGGGACAACCTGTCTCCTCCGTACACAGCCCAAGCAACCCAATACATCCCATCTAGAGCCACATGCCACGCCACGCCACGCCACTCCACTCTACACTTCATTCCATGCAAGCAACAGCAATTGTAGCCGGCGTCTGGTTTAATGTGTTCCGAGTAGCACAGGCGGAGTCGCTTCGAATGAGAACTTTATTGTTTTTCAGCGCCCCGGAAATAATGTAATAATCTTGCATAAAACGAGCTCAGCTGCTGGTGCAGGGCTGTTTCTACTTGTTATTCTTTTATAATCGAATCGTTAAAAAATTACGAAAGAAAAGGCTAAGGGAAAACAGTTGGACAAAGAAGCGGGAGAGCCTCGCCCCAGGCAAGGGGGCCCATTAAAATGATTTGGTGGAAATGCTGTAGGAAATGGAACCTGGAACAGACACTGAGGCAACTGAGAGAGCTGGAAACCTGCAGGCAGCAGCTAGAAGGCATTGGCGAGATAGAGATTGCGGGGAAATCGGCATAAAAAGAACTAATGCCGACCCCAAGGGGCAGGCATTAGCATCCAACATCAATTAATTTTACAGTCGCCGTCAGTCTAACCTTGATGCAACTCAACATCCACATCCACATCGAACGTCCACGTTCACATCGACTCCGACAGCGACAGCGACAGCGACTTCAGCAATCATTAAACAAGCCCAGGCCTCGCAATCCATCAATCGAGGCAGAAAAAAAGCAACACCACAAAACATTTTCTCCTCATTAAAGACGGATTTCCACTTTAAACTCTCAACTTACTCTCTCCCCCAAGCAATGCCCCCTCCGTTGCACATTTCTCTTTTCAATGCGTGTTCAAAGTTGACCCAAAAAGAGGAAAGCCAAGCAAAAGAAAAGAACGAAACGCTAAACGCTCAACCAGCCAAGAAATCGGTACATTTTGGCCCAGTTTAGATTGTGTGCTGACCAAAAGCGGAAATTGGTGGGAAGTTGAAAGAGGGGTGGGGTGGGAGGAGGAATGAGGAAGGAGAAGAGACAGATACGGAGAGAACTAGACTTATTTCAAATTCCAAATGTAGCTAATGAGTTGGGTTTGATTGAGTTGGCACGAGATGAGTTAGGCTCAATTGCTCTCTGGTGGCTCGCTCCCTCTGGAAGTTCTTTTCTTTTTGGCGTCGAAGATCTCTTGAAGACCCCAAAGAGGAACGTCGTCTAGTAGAACTCATTTCCTGTATAGTCTGGTTTATAGAAGCTAAGCAGCTCTCTCCCACGTGCTTATAGAGGAATGAAGGATCTGGAAACGTCGCAGTTCCTTCAGATCATTCATAACTCCATCTGGCAGACAACTATACAGAATATGATATTCGTAACATTACACTCTGGCTTTGATGGTTTGTGGAGTGAGCTCTTGCTTACCGAGTCGAGCTTCTGGTTCTACTACTTCCGCAGCTTCCCCTCATTAGCATCTCGGATTTCATCAGGTAGTTCTGCACCCCGCACCTTCCCTTCTTGTGCCTTAATTTGGCTTGTGCCGCTTCGCTTGGCATAGATTCTCCACTTTGGCGTTGTCTTTTCTTTTTGGGGCTGGCAATGTGGGTCAACGCGGATTCAATTGGTGTGCACCTGTTGGGAGAAGACGTATGATAACACAAAAATACAAGTAAAGATTCGCCGAGTACTCGTAAATAGCTCCCCCGGCCGACTGTATCGCTCCCTCTCGACCGCTTTGAGTGCCTGTTGAATGGTTAAGCGATACTCGTACAAGATACTCGTACTCGGCGCAAGACCGAGTGACGAGTGATGGGCGACGAGTGATGGGTAGAGTGATGAGTGGATTGGAGGTGTATCTGGAGTGGGGCTCATGGATACTCAGACACGCTCAACACTGGCCTTGGGCCAAAGCGGGTGTTGGGAAGGAAAGTTGGTGTTGTGTTGTGTTGTCTGATTCGTCTTTCTGTGCCTTTTATTTTCTTTTTGTTTTAGCAATAAAACGTAAACTGTTCCACATAGAATGTGGTGCGTCTTTTGGCCATGGTAATTACACTTTGTACCAAAAATAAGCCAGATCATCATCATCATCACCGTCACCGTCGTCACCATCATCGGCATCGGCATCGTCATTTTGATAGGGTGAATCTTCTTCGGCGAGGCGATATTTTGTTGGGGACCATGATGACGATGAGCTGGCACTTGGGTCGTCGTTCCAGCTGAAATCTTTTCGTTTTCTTTTCGTTTGGTGTGGCCCTCGCATGAGGAATCTGTGCTATTCGAACGGTTGTTTTGCTTACAGCCGACCCCTCTCCACCACTCTGTTCTCTCTTCCGTCGCATTTGGTATTATAAGCCATATTAAAAAGAAACGCTTCTTAGTTATGATTTCTTCTTGTTCTCTTTTTGGGAAGAGAGAGAGAGGGAATTGGAACGGCCGCAATAGAGGATGGAAAATGTGGGCCAAATTCTATATTTCATCTGTATTTGGTTTATGTTTTGGCGTTGGCTTTGTCTTTGGTTTCGGTATTTTGGCTTAGTAGTATTTGTCATACCACAATGACGTAGCCTAATGCTGTGGAAGACCGTAGATCCCCTCCCACTCCCCTCCCCTAACCCGACGCTAACTTTCAGACCAAGTTAGGCTACAAAATTATTCAAAAAATAATCGCAGGCAACGGAATCGTTCTCTAGTCGATACAATTCGATTCGTTCGAGAACCAGAAATAGCAGTAAAATGCCAACATTAATATTCTTAAATGGTAAGAGAACGTTTCAAGGAATGAATGAATGAATGAATGCCCAGCCTGCCCCAATTTCGCCCCAATGTGAGTCTGAATAGCCACCAAACAAATGCAAATTAAAACTGCTTGCTGCCGCGAGGGTGAAGTGGAGCGGAAGAAGGGGACCAAAGAGTGGCAACTAATTTGAATGGTTCTAGAAAGATTTTTTGGAGCAGTTTACTAAAAAAGAAAATTATAGGAAATTCAATGTGCATGCATCTGGGGAATAGAGGTACAGACTAATCTGCTATCTTGAGTAAGCTTATCGTGAAGGCCATCCAAGGCCCTTGCTTACACGAATACATTCGATTAGAATGCTTTCATTCCATAAACCATAAATTGCTTACCTTCGCTTTCGAATGGAATTTCATCTGCACTTCACTACACTTCACTTCCACTCACTCATTCATCGTCATTGATGTCGTATGCGTATTCTTTTGGTTCGGCTCGGCTCGGTTACAAATTTAAATTCTATTTTTGATTGATGATCCGCTGACGAAGTCGCAGGTTCCCCAAAAACACCAGTTCGTTCTTATTCGAGCCAGTGTGTGAAAGTGTTCCCATTTCATCTTCTTCTTTAAGATTCCCGAAACCCAAGCCCAAAGCCAGTGTCAATTTAAGGGTCTCGTTTCGAAACATTCCCAATTTGGACATGACTTGACCGGCGATGTTTCTCATGATGATGATGATGATGATGATGATGATGATGACGATGATAATGACGATTCCCTCTCTCCGGAGCAGCCCACTCCCAGTTGCACTTGACGTGGTGGGGAAGGCCACAACTTGTTGGCCAAGAGTTTTCATTTGGTGCGTGTGTGCCGCCCATTAGGTTCATACACCTCAATTCACATCTATTCACTTCCATTCACTTGTACACACTACACTCTACTTCAGTGGGCTCCAGTCGCCATGAGTTGAGTGGAGTTCATTTCAGTGGCTTCAGAGCTGGAGCTGGAGCTGGAGTACGCTTATGCTGGGTTTTCTTTTCTTTTTAATGAGACAGAAAGGCTAATTACGAGCGTCATGCGTATGCAAATGGCAGAACAGAATAATAGAGATAGGGCGAACCGAAGAATGGGAAAGCAAAGAGTGGGAAGGTGGAAAGTGTGTTTCGGGAGTGTGCGAATGTTCTTTCTCTGTCATTGTAGAATTTTCCCTGGTAATCAGAGCAGCGATCCACCGGGGCGTTGCATTCGTTCATTCATTCATTCATTCATTTGCATTTGCATGGAAACTTCATTTGGGAATGGGAATGATTATTTATTTTTTTTATTTTTTTCCTTTGCGAAGCACCTTCAGATCCCACCACCAACATACAATAATGCCACCTGGCATTATTTTTATGGCCACGTTTGTGTCTTGTATCTTGAGTCTTTTGTCTTTATGGCTTGGACCCGTTTGCAATTCGGTCAAGCAATCATTTATTCATTCACTCTGCCACTCTACTTTAATTGCTGCCATGTTGCATACAACGCCCCTCTGCTGCTGTGCCCCTCTACCCTGCTGCTCTTTCTGCTGTTGTTTTAATTACTCAGCATGTTGCATGCAAATCTGGAAAACTCTCGACTCGACCGCAGCGGCAGCAACAACTGAACAATGAACGAAGATTTTTTTTCTTTTGCACTTTCCAAGCACCCCGCTGACGAATGGGAGTGGCAGTCCGGCAGTGGCAGTGGCAGGTGGTGGGGCAGTCATACTTGTATATCAATATCCCATTAACTGGGCAAAAGAAGCAGCGGGAGCTGTAACTGCCCCCCCCCAACGGACGCTGCTATGCTGCATCTATCTTTATATCTGTGTATCTGTGTATCTATGTGTGTATGTATGTATGTACCTACTAGTAGTTACCGTTACGCAGCAACTATACAAGCTCGGACCGCGGACAAAACATGTTTGGGGCGGCACGGCACAGAACCAGAATCGAAGTCGGAGTCGGAGTCTGAATCTGAATGAGAGCCGAACTGAAAATCCAAGAGAACACTGAGCCAGTCGCTGGCTCATCAAATGGAATTTTCATTTTTGAACTTTTGCCATCGTAAAAGTCCAATACAAGGCATTCCCCCACTCCCATCCGAATCCCCACCCCCCCACCACCACTCTCTATTCCGAAGTGGATTGAGTTAAACGAAACGCGAGGAGAAAATACAATAGCGATAGAAGCAGGAGAAAAAAAGAAGATGCGGCAGCTCAAGCTGATGGAAGATGAAAGAAGCATTAGCAGCATCAGCAGCAGCATCAGCAGCCGCATAAATCGATTGGAAACTCGTTTTCAGGTTCATTTGACTGGAAAGCGCATTTTCTGTTATTAATATAAGAAATAGATGGCCAGAAGATGGAGATTCGTAGATATGTTATAATTAAGTGGCATTGTTTTCAGCCTCGGCCACAGATTCAACATCAACATCAGCATCGCCGTCAGCTTGAGCTTCAGCTGGAGTGCGATCCGTTGAGAGATCCGTTAGAGAAAACACTTTACGCAGCATCGATACAGATACAGATACAGCTACATGGAAAATGACCACAAGAGGGAGAAGAGAAAGAGAAGCGAGAAAAAGATCTCCGATCTGAAGGGGATCGGGATCTCCCCGACAAATAACGATGAAATTGGTATCATCTTGTGCTCTTGAGTTTCGTTATATGTACGTAGAAAACTGTAAACCGTTGGCCTTTCCACTCTTGAAAATGATTGGAACTGGATCTTCTTAATAAACTTTGATCAATGAAATATGTGGAAGAAAGTATTTAGAAGAGATTGGTTCAATTTCGTTGAATACGAAGCTTTAACAGATTTTTAAGAGTGATTTATTGTACGAACAAGTGGGAACATAATAAATGATACTAAGCATTTTTGTGGGAACTTTATTGAACGGTTATTGAAAGCTCGTCTTTATTTAGCTGTCTGATAACAGAAGATTTCTGCTAGTAATGCTCTTCATAAGTGTTTTGCAGAGCAGTTTCTTGAGAAAGTTTCGAAGAAGAAGATTTATTGGCGTTGATGGATTGAAGTAGTTCTATGGAAGGCTCCAACAAATGTAGAGGAAAATGGTTTAACGAATCTGCTGCTCGACGCAGCCTCTTTAGAACTCAGGGGAATAGTTTTCCTGGATAAGTTCGCTTAGAAAGCTAGGTTTTCATTTCGCATGTCACTTTGCGGAGAGGCACACCAGCTAGAACAATAAATGTTGATCAAACTTATTTAAGCGAAGGAAAATAATTTTCTCTGCCTCTTCTCTTTGCAGTTGAACCGCTGAGCAACGCAGAAGAAGACCAAGAAGAAGGTAAGCAAACAGCCCTAACAAACGAGCCCAACTTCGAGCCTGCCACTGCCACTGCCCCTTCCCCCATTCTCTGCCAGTACCAGAGGAAAGGTCTTGTTTGGGTGGGAGCCCGCCGACTAACTGACGTGAACTCCACTCCACTCCACTAAACTCGGTTCTGTTCCTCAGGCTCCGGTTCAGGACTGGGACTTGCGTATTTTATGTCTTCCGCTGAATTGCAATCACAAATCAAGGCAGGTGTTGAGTGGATTGTTGGATTGTTGCATTCTTGGATTGAACGAGATTTGATGTTCAACTTCGGGCTGGAGCTGTAGTCTAGTCAAAGGTGGAGCTGAGGGAGAATGGCTTTTCACCCAAACCAACCCAAGTCTAATCATCATCGTGGCTTTGGTCTTATTGCTCTGACTGCCTTGACTGTTTACGGCTGTGTGTCCGTCTATGTCTATTTATAGGCGAAGTGCAGGCAATCGCCTAGCAATTAGTCACTCCAACGAACCTCAGCCTGGCAACCAAGGCTTTTTCCACCGCTGCATCCATCCATCTGTTCATCTGTCCAGCTGTCCATCTGTCCATCTGCCCATCCCATCCCATGCCATCCATCTATCCATCTCTTTATCTGTGCTGTGCTGTGCTGTGCTGTGACGCCTTAGTGCGCACTGCACACCCTCGACTCGTTCGTCCCCTGTTTCATACTGCACAATTATTTACTGTGTCTCTGATGCTGAGACGATGAGCGCGTGACACGATCACACTCTCTCTTGCTCTCTGTATCTCCAATCTTCTTCTATACAGAACCGCTGTACTATCTAACAAAGTTCTGTTCTGATTTGGCTCCGTAATTGGAATCTTTTTCTTCATCCTGTATCTGCTCGCTCCCATCTCTAATTGAGATGGACTCCATGCGATCTCTCCTCCCATCTCTAGTCTCCAGCCATAAATTGTCCACTGGCGGCTTAGTGTAACTAATTGACGATCAACGCAAAACGCTTTGGCGGCATCTGAGGCCCTCCCTCTACCCTCTTGGTGACATTGAGTAATGCCAGCGGATGGGGTGGGCAGGTCCTTGGGCTACCATAGACACTTTTGGCCCTTTGATGGAGGGGAGAAAGGGGGCCGGTCGGCTTTAGTTTGTTTCAGCCGCTTCGAGTGCTTTGACGATTCTTCGACAATTAAGTTGGCCAGTGGCTTATTGCCAGGTTTGTTTCTGCTGTGCTTATGCTGACAAAACGAAAATGAATTGCTGCTTTCAGACTAGAAGAGGATCAGGAAGTTGCCAGAACTGAAGGGGCTCCTCTGGTCCAGCCTCTAATTTATTATCGGGTGCTGATGTGGAGTGGATGCGGCTGTGGATGTGGATCTGGCTGTGGACGCCAACAGATTCTCCAATGCGTTCCAGCTGCGCGGCTGCACCTCTCTGTCAGCGCAGTCAGCGGGGCTGTCACTGCAATTTATTTTGCCTTTGGCTTTGCCTAAGACGCTTTTTGTCTGATACCCTTCCTAAAGGGTACTAAGATTCCGAGCAGATGTCACGCCCATAGAGTATATGCATACATACATATGTATGTACATATGTGCAGCATTGTCTGTGCGCTTGTGCGATAGTCGACAGCTATCGATGGCAAGTTTCAGTTTCGGTCACTGTTCGGGTAGTGTTGTCCCATCTATAATTAAGTTATGCAATGGGGATGGTATGAGGAAGTGACTGCTGCTTAGTCCCCTTCTGCCGGGGCACACATGCATATTGTGGTACATATCTGCCGCTTGTATCTAGAATCGCTAGAACTGGACCTGGGCCCAAGGCAGAGTCGGAGTCAACCTCAGAGCTTATCAAGCCACAGCCATCTGAGTTTTGGGCTGCGTTTTTGTGCGGTTTCCCTGTCTATGTCTATGTTTTCTTTCTCTGTCCCTTTCTCTTTCCCAAAACCCAGGTTGGCGCGGCAGTTCGTTTCTCCACTCAACTCCGAGAGTGGTTTCTATTAAAGACTTGTGATACTCGTATGTATTTTAATGTATGCCTGAAATTTATTGATTACGAGATGTTTATTAAATCAGAGTTCATTTTCGATTACACTTCAATGCTAAGCCAAATATTATCGTCCAGATATTTCATATACATATGTATATATGTATAGTCCCTTAACTCTGCACAAAAATCAGTTTTATATTATTACACCCGTACTCAAAAAGAGTTAAGTGGTAAAAGTGGATGTGTGCAACGCAGAGAAGGAAATGTTTCCGACCCCCGTCCGTCTGTGCGTCCTGATAAGCGCCTAGATCTCAGTGACTATAAGAGCTAGAGAAACCAAATTTTGTTTCCAGACTCATGTGATATCCCACTGTTACAAGTGTATTTGAAATTTTTCCCCGCCCAGAATGAAGAAATTCATTTTCAGTTGCTTCCCCCACCTCCTCCAGCACAAATAAACATTTTATATGTAGATGTAAAATGTCAAATATTTTAAAATTCTACATAAATCATAAGCTCACATTTTTATATACTGACTGAGTACGAGTATAAAAGTAGAGTCGTGCCCACAGAAGCGACTCACACGTTCCTTCTCGTTGTTAGTTTGCTTTCGATCCATTTTCCATTTGACGATCGATTAATAAGCTCTGTTCCACCTGGAGTTGTGCTTTCCACGCTCACCCCCCTTCCTCCTCGTACTGCTGCATCGAATTTTCTGCTGTTTTTCAATTACACTTATCGATTACCTGCCCTCCTGGTAATGGTCGTACCCCATTCCCCAGCCCCATGCCCCAATGGCAATCATCATCTGCGTCGCCGCTCAAGTGGCAATTGTTAATTTATTGTTTGTGCGCAGCCGTGAGCGTTTTATATTGATTCGGCTTGCCAATTATTGTGTAAATAAATTCCGAATTGCGTGCGGCAGCAACAGCCACAACAGGAACCATAACAACAAAAGTGTGCTCTTCATGAACTTGCCTCGATTGTTCTTGCTACTGATGGTGTTGTTGCTGTTGGTGTTTCTGTTGCTGTTGCTGCTGTTGCCAAAGTCCATTCACATACATTTTTGTACTTTATGGGCAATTTCCAGCGAGGCAAGCGAGCAAATTCACCAGAACCAACAAAAACAAGATCAGCAGCAGCAACAGCAACAGAAGCGGAGTGGTGGAGTTCTGAGCCTAGGGATGGAATGGGGTCTTTAGGCACAAAACATACGAAGATACTCTCAAGCAAGCACTTCATGCGAGCACACAGAAAGCTGAGCACTACGAGTACACACCCAATCAAAATAGATATGTATTTTGTAATGAGTATTTTCCTAATGCATCGGTTGAGTATTTAAATGTAATCAGCCGTACATCAATAGCACCCTCAACTGGTGACTTAAGTATATCCAATAGTTACATACATTTGTATGCATGTATTGTATATCAAAGTCAATATTATTAATGATATATTGTAAGTCCTCCCAGCACAAATGCATAATTTGACTTCGGTACAGTTTCGTCGCATCATTTTGTGGCATCATTTCGGGACAAGGGCACGCACGAACTGTATCCGATTGCTTCCATCTCCAGTTCGGGCCTGCGGGCCTACAAACCGGCCACAAGAAACCAAAGTAACGGAGTCAACAAGCTATGTCAAAGGTGAGCGCGGGATAGGGGGGAGAGAGAGAGAGAGAGAGATCGAATGAGCCAGTGAGAGCGGCACAAAGCCGGAGCATTGTGCGCTACAAATTGTCACACAATATTCCCGCTTGACTCGCCTTGTCCCCCTCCGATTATCTCTTTCTCCTTCTATCTTTTGACCAGAACAATGCTCTGGCTTGGAGACAGACGGAGACACCAGCAAGAAGACTTGCGCAGAACAGCAGAAGTAGCATAAGAGGAAGTAAATACGACAAGAAGTAGAAGTAGGGTGAAATGTGGAGAAGAATGCGATGAATGAGAGAAAGGAATGCTAGCAGTCGAATCCTAGAAAGCCCAGCCACGGTCCATGGCTTGGATTAAGTTCCCTGAGAAAATTCCGAAGAACCAGTATACCTAGTGGGGTCGTGAGGGGTACTCTTCGAGTACTCTTTGATTTGAATAAAGGTTTATTAAAAGGGTAACACCATATCGATCACAGTTCGATCGTTAAACGCTCCCATTGATCGATAAATTTCGATTGCTATCGACAGAGCTTTGGGAAAGTGATGGTCTGTAGTAGAAAAAAAAAACTTGAGTGAAGCGCAAGAAGGCTCAAAAATGCATTTCAAGTTTGGCAGATTTCCTGTTTGTGCGCCAAATCGTATTCAAAATTTTTGTGGTCATGGAAATCGACGTCTTTGGTGTCTGGGAGCTGTCCCGGAGAAATGGTGAAGGAGAGACAGATTGAACAGAAGCGACAGTCGCTGGCAGCTTTCATTTGTTAACTCAGTTTATGAAACGGGACTCGACAGAGTTTTCGGCCTTCTCCTTCCTGCTGCCAGCGCCTGTTCTTCAGCGCTCTAGCGCTCCATCTTCGAATGCCAACTTCATCTTCGTTGCCACGAGATGAACGCTTGCTCCCGTGGATGCTATGGCCCTGGCTTAGGCTGAGGCTGTGGCTGTGGCTGCTGCTGCTGCTGCCGCTGTCTAACTCATTGACTGACAGACAGGCAGCGAGACTGAAAGAGATGGACCGACAGGGAGACATTCGATTAGCATTAAGCGCAAGAAAGAAAAACGGAGAAGAGCCGACTGGAGCGCACCGGGAGCGAAGAAAAGGATCCTCAGCGGACTGTGGAATTGCAATGGTACTAAGAATAGGTATAGGATTGGGATTTGGGGAATGGAGAGGAGAATGGGTACCCATTCCCACATGGTTAGCGTCGAGACAGAGGCGAATGTTATGCAATTTCAGTTACTTAGAGCCCATCAGTCAATCAGCTTGAATGTCTGTCATCACTCTTCCTCTGCTCAGGCCTCCTCTCGGTCTCTTGGTCTCTTGGCCTCTTGGCCTCTCCTTTCTTTCTGTTGACAGCTCCCGAAGACTTTCCCCCCTCCTGACAATA